ATATATAGCTATATATTTATGTAAAATTGGCTCTATATGTATATAATATAAAACCATACTCGGGCAAACTATATAGGTATTATTACTATTACATAAATAGATGTGTGTATATTTTTCACCTGCTTTTTTCGAACGACCTACTCGCCCGTTTCGGCCTGTCATGTTGTCAAAAAAATAAACCATCCACGTACAATATAGGCACCTCTATATATATATATATATATATAATACATACATATATATATATATATATATATATATATATATATGTATGTATAATTAGCGTTGCCGTGATAACGGGGTGGTGTTATACATTATGGCAATGGCCGTGCGACGTTTTTGCTGTAATTAAAGGCAGATGAGCTTCGGGTCACGAAAAAGGGAGCGTGTGTAGTATATAGCTGTGTAATTGCTCGGAACGAATGCAATTTGTCGACGTTATTAAAACAAAAATATATAAGTATATTTATATAAAAAAAATAGCCCCCCCCCTCAACCCATCTATTAGGGATTCTCACCGTAGTATCATGTTATATTATGTGTATAACGTATACCATTGGAAATCGTTGGACGACGAGTGCACTTAAATTATTGCTGTCGATGTGCGTGTCCGTGTTGTTTAAAGCACTCTTGAATAACAATAATAATAATATATGTACCTTGTTTTGTTTTTTGTTTAACACAGCTCTACAATATTCAGCTCGTTCAATATTTTTGAAATATATTATAGGCGGTTATAATGTTCGCCCGCAAGTGAGTTGTACAGCGTTTAGTGCGATTTCGATTGCTATCGAAACCAATAATAATAACATAAAAATATACAAAGTAGTCTGTAAGCCACTTTGACGGCACGATTCGAATACCGACAGAGGGTGTGTCATAAAAATATAATGTATTCTAATGGAAAGAAATAGCAAAAAGCTGAACGCCAAAGTCATAAGTTCCTCCCTCGACAACGTTTCTAATCGCGGAAGCCGTTTATATAATTACTACAAATTTAACAGTATTCATATTTGAACAGTAAACTAAACTTAGTTCGTCACATAATAATAATATGTTTCTTAATGTTTTGCAAATTGAATATGGTCGAACATAAATAGTAAAAATTATTCACTAAAGTCTAAATTAAAAATAATATAGTTTCTAACTGCGCTTATCCGCGCTACGGACTTCATCGATGATGTATCAGAAATTTGAACTAGAATTTCGTTTCGACCCTAGTTAAACGCCGGCAGTAGTTTTTAACTCTTCAATGCCCAATTTGTTTTTACATTTTATAATGTGCAATTTTTTTATATAAATTAAATTATCAGGAATTTTGAAAAAATAAGTAAAAAGTATACATCTAATAACATACGTTTAACAGCGACATCATCGATTTAAATGCATTTTTTCTAAAAGTAAATCAAATACATAATAAACATGTTGCATATCTGTGATGTGATTTTAATGAAAAATGACTTTTATACTTTGATTTGTGGTATCTCGCACGTCACTCGTGTTAATTTAGTGATTTTGGGTACCGACCAACAGCTCCCTTCGCTATTCGAACACAAGCACAATTGGCGGAGGGCATTGTGGTACAATTACTATTATATTATACAGGCTAACACCACCGAGTCTGCAGGGCACGTGACCGATTGTATGGGAGTAAAATTGATACGCAGTTCGAAAATCTGTTTATCCCGCGGGTACCATTCCGTATAATATATAATGCGGTAATTAAATGAAATGGCATACATCTTAATAATGCATCCGGCACGATTGGAAGTTATATAAATTTAAAAACATTGAGTCGCTAAATGTTTGTTGATGAATTATACAACTCGAGAATAAAAAAATTAATATTTTCTTCTTTATTACATCATTTTTGGCTAATTATTTTCAATTTTTATCTTCTACCGAATGAATGGATGGAAGCACAATGAAGTCGAGGCGGTAATGACCGTTTGTAGAAAGTATATGTAACTTATGGCATTTTAAAGTGATAAAGCGTTTATTAATAACTCTAAAATATATAAAACGTTCAAATTAAAGCAAGTTGATTAATTGCAGTAATGTCAGAACATTTGTCAGAAGTTTATTTCCATTTTTTGTTATAGATATCAAGAAACAACTACTTATAAAATTACAGTAGTGTATACTGTAGCCAATAGTTATGTATTTAGCTTTAACGTAGATTGAAATATTAAAGAAATATCCTACAGTCGTTAGCCGCTATAAGTCATAAGAATTAAGATCTATACATTTACAAAACTATGTATGTGTTTGTACCAGTAACCTTAACAATAGTGTTGTAAAAGAAAATTCAATATTTTTAATACATTTTTGCAAATTTCAAAATAGTATGAACTATTTAACTGTTTAGTAAAAAATAATAAAATGCCTAATAGGAAACTTATTTTTTTCCCCTTTTTTTATTTTTAATAAGGGATTTTTTAAGAACTATAATAATATTATTTCGCTTTTTCAATGAAAAAAAAAAGACTATATTAAGATACCCAGCTACAATCGTTGTAAACAGAGAACAAATTGAAGCCACGTGCAATATAATCCGAGAGATTTGAGTTTGAACAAAACAATATATTTTGAATCTTTAAAACGCGTGCAACGAAAGTGTGCTTTGGGCTCTCACGAATACCTGAAAACGACACTCTGGCCGTTCTCGTATTTTCTACATTACTATACAGCTCCATTATATATATAAATATATATATTCATAGATACTTGGTATGAAAACTTTAAAGAATTGTTGACGATATCGCCGAGTCCTCGAATGAGCATTTTTTTTTATGGCTCTTTCGACACGCACCAGTATTATAAAACAGTATTATTATACCTATCGTGCGTTTTTATACTATCTATCTATCGACTTACCTATACATATATATATATATATATATATACATATATACATATATATTTATAATATACGATTCTATGAGCGCGTGTGCGCTTTTGCATGCGAATGTTCTACGTATAATGTACGCCCCCTGTCAAGGAGCTGTTAACGACAATTCCGTCTGAGTATCAGAAAAATAATAAAACAAAAAAGTCATATTATTATTACGTTGGTAAATAACTCCGTACGGCCCTAGTACTGTGTGTGCACTGTACACTGTACATTTATTGGCATTTTAGTCGCTTTTGGTCATAGGCTGAGATTTGAAGAGAAGAGCTTATGGACAGAGTTGTGCAAATTCTTATTAGATTCATTTTTACTTGAAAGATGCATAATTCCGTTTATATAGGGGTGTAATTCTCTTAAATATTTAAAAACCTTATATAATTGAAACAAATGGAAATAGTCGTTTTTAATCAACTCTTATTTTTGAGAGAGAGTTATTTAAATATGAGAGAGGATTAAACCATTACAACTTTTCTCTTTTAGTCCAATTTGGCGTTTCCAGTTTCCACTACTTAAGATTATTGATTATTATTTAAGGCTATAGCCAATAGTTATCAATATAATATTTAAACTGTGATAATTCATCAAGTATACATCTTAATGAAAAACAGATATGTGGAAGAATAACATTATTATGCTCTCTTTCCACATAATGATTGGAATCGGAATTCCTTATAACTTTTAACAGCTGTACATGTACAAAGCAAAAATTAGCAGAGCAGAGTATAAAGTTAGCACACAGGAACAGAAAATACTATTGTTATCGTGAGTTAGTTGAAAATTGGAGGAAATAAATTTGAAAACGACCAAATCACTTGCATGAAAATTGCTTAAATTAAAATCCGCGAAGACAGTGTAAGTATTGAAAAATCATGTTTTCTAACATGATGTGTTTTTTTTCTTATAAATAGTTATAACACTTTCAAATGTGTACATTAATCAAATCGTACAGTCGTCCTAATAATCATTGTGCAGTGGCTTCTCAGTGCGTTGCTATCTATATTTTCAAGTATTTTGAGTTAAACAATTTTATCTATGACAGATAGGTAGCCGGTAGTCGTTTGTCACTTTGAGGATATAATTATTATTTTGGATAAATGATAATATTAATAATTTTAATTTATCGCTCGACACCTATGTTTACGATACCACTTGACGTATACCGTGTATTTCATTAGCATAATGTGCAAATACTAATAATAAGAACAGCCAATAAGATAATACTCGGATTAGCGAGGTGTCTACGAAGCATAATAATTACAGTTCCGATAAACTTATTTTTCATCTTTACCATATTTCATAGGTTTTATCGTTATTTCTGTTTTTACCGACTTGCACGTTTAGAATTTGTGTAAATAAAAAAACATAATATAATAACTGCCCGTATCTATTCACGATTAAAATATATTATATTGATATAATATTTTTTTTTCTTCAAAGTTATTGGAATTCATATTCAAGTGTTTGTAAACAGACATACCGAGTGTTATACAATAGTTAGTCGTAATTGTTGATCAACGATATTTAAGTTAGTACGAATAATATGAACTTATTATTTTTACTCATTAAAATGAGTATGTATTTTTGAGATTATTGTGGAGGGATGTAGTTATAGAAGTAGACCAAAGAAGAATACTCGGAGACGGGCAAACCCCTAGTGTTTCATAGTTCTTACTTGAAAACTGTATTTTGCCCATCTCCTAGGCTTAACTTGTATTGTAATCATGTGTTGCTCGGCACTGACGACGTTCTCATCAACGGGACAGCGGAGTACGTCTCTAAACGGGTATAACATAGCAGTTAATGGTATTAGATATTAATCAATAGTGTAAAGAACGCGATCGGCAAAACTCGTGGTAGTTTACCTGTCGTTATATCATATATAGTTTGGCCCGCCAGTACACGCGATATTATAATTATTAAACAACGGGTTTTGCTAAATTACCAAAGCGGATATTTATCTTACGGTAGGTACGAGCGGACCGAAAATGTTCGTACTTACTCAAGTCGGGTTTATTTTTTACACACAAGATTCTTACAACGGAATAGGCGGTATAATATAGTGTAGAGCTGCGGCTAATTACAGAGGTTAATCGACGAGGGGTACGGCCGTGACGATCGATCTTGCGCGCACAATGTATCCGGCAGAGAAGGAGAACCGGCCAAGGACACGCAGGACACAAAGGGGGAGCTGCTGCCACTGTCACCCTCGCCGGCCACGCCTTCCCATATCCACGGTGTCGACCAATCGGCGGCCGAGCTCCTCCTCTCGACCAGCGTTTTTGCCCTACGGAACACAACGATGCACCCAGGGTCGCACAGTCGATGCGTTCAAGTGGCTCGTCGACGACTCATCGAGTGTCCGGGGTCGTATCTATCGTGCGTGTGTCCTGTTAACCGAAGTCTTAAGTCCGTCTGCTCAGAGTGTGTGTCTGTTCGGTCGTTCGAGTGCGCGGTCTTGACACAAAATAGTACTATATAATTCCCACGTCGCGGTTTTGCCCTTGTCTAGCGGCGTCCGTGTAAACGTTTTGGCAAACGCCTGTCTGTAGACTTTCTTATAAGACCATGTCGGACAGCGAAAGCCCGAAACCGATGGAAACGCAATTCCACCATCATCACCATCCGAGGATACCGCCGTCGCTGTTGGCCTGGTGCCCGACACTAATGCCGCCCTGGTGTTCGCTGTTGCCGGCCGCCTGGTGTAATCCGGCCGCCCTTAGATCGGCTTTCCCAGGGTTAGTACCTACCTAAAATACAATAAGCTAAAAGCTGGCATGTGCAAACAAATGCAACTCTGACGTTTTACAATATATGTTTAGGGTAGCTAGTCAAACGTGTATGTATATCATGTGAAAATATAGTATCTATAAAGCTCTAATATGAGATATTCAAAATAATTTGTACGATTTATGAAACATTTTTAAATTACTCTCCTGAAAAGTACACTTTGTGTACTTATCAGCTTTTGGCTCTCGACCACAAAATTATAATATAATATAGCGAGTAATAAGCAATCGCAGTTTCTGAAATGGACACAATAAGATTATATACATTGATTATTATACATTTGCTGAGTTCAATTTATTCTGCTCTGTGTTCTTGTCCTTAAAATAGTATGCGCTTACTGTAACGTTTTAGATAAAAATTATGAAAATGTCACAGTATCAACAATAAACGGTTTAAAAATAAAAATAAATTCATAAGTCCCAAAACAACAGAATTTACGAGATATATCCGGTTATAACAACATAATATCAATTAATACTGGTTTCGATCCTTTAGGTCATCTCCGGAGTATGAAAAAATTCAATAATAATTATATGTTTATTGATAAGTGTAAAAAATAGTTGTACGGCCCAAAAGTAAACTAACATAATAAATATTTCTTGTAAACATAGTTAACACAACTGTTCGACAATATTTATTGTCCAAAAATATAGTATTACTAAATGTATTTGTACTAAAATACATTAATAACAAAATATTTAATTTATTCCAAAAAAAAGAAAAAACGTTAAACAAGTATGAGCCTTAATAAATTGTTGTTTTATCAAACATATACCTTGATGTAAAATCTTCTATTTGTTTTAATGTATAACATTTTTAATTTTCATATCGCTGCTTTTCATTCGGGGTATTTTCATACAGATAACGTTAATATTTGATTTTAATTTTTTTTATCATATTATACCTACGTCTAAGATTTTATTTGAAAAGCAGGTGTGACTTGTTGAAAAAAATGATCTCGTGGTAAATAATAAATATTAATATATAATATAATTTTATTATCGCCGAAATATTCCTGGTAGACTGTTATATGACTTCCTTATTACATTCGTCGTTTTTATTTTTTATTTTAATTATATACCAATAAAAATGTCTCGTTTTCAACAAGTTGAGTTACTTAACAAAGTATAACGATTTTTAAACGCTGATAGTTTCATAATATTAATCCACGAACAAGCCAAACGTTTTTGCTCAGGACCGATAAATATAATATCATATAAGTAGTATAATTATCTCTTCTCAACATAATACATAATAAGGACGTGTCCGGGAGATGCTTTTGTGTAGACGAGTATATCGAGATTTCTTTCTTCCTTTATCCACCTCGCATCTGTGTATTTTTTTATGATTTTTTATTGGTCTCCATACCAATTTGTAGATCCCGTGCTCGAGCGCCGCCGCCGCACTATAACCGATACGTGACTTTGAATACATTTGGGCAATGATTTGAACACTTTCCTGGGCAGGTATACGACCATAAAACGCTTATAATATATTATATATTAATACACGGTACGGGTACAATAACATATTATTATTATTACTATAACTATATTACAGCCCGGTTTTACGCACCGCTCCGAACAGTTGATGACTTATATAATAGAAGAGTACGACGATAATACACGTATATTATACAGTGTACTATAGCGTCTCGTCGATGGTGTCTATAGCTACTGTAATGTGTTTTACCATATTTTTCATAAGCACAAGACAAGTGCTCCTGGCATAATCGCATTGTATCGTCCGTCTAAACTGTAAGAGTGCCCACAGATAGATACTTCTATGTATTATTATTGGCCAACGTTTTCAACAGTTAATAAAAATTACCCCATCGAACAAATGTGCCTATTGAAACTGTTCAACTCGGGTCATTTCAAGTCTTGTGTTCTCAGTCCACACGCGGTATGCGAGGGTTTCACGAACGGTTCATCAAGGTTTTATAACGAATCAGAGTACATATTTTTAGTGGCCTATGATTATGCGGTTCATTAAAATCATAGGGTAAACGGCTATTAAATAACTTGTACATCACATTTCCAGAGATTTGTATACTGATTTCCAAGGACGCTTTACCCTCTGATTATGAAATGTTTTGCACGACTGGGTGTTGAATGTAATGTTACTTTATCAATAAAAATGATCGCGCCTTATAGTTTTTAACCGTTATCGAATAAAGGAATCTCGTTGCCGATAAGTCGATTGACAGCCCAACTTGTAATTAAAAACGTTACACACAAGCATAGCTTAAAGGCTGCAAAAGGCGATTTGGAAGAAAAAGAACAATCCGCGTTCGAGATGTGATAATCGTCGGCTGTGCTACCGGAAGGCGCTTTTCGTGAGTGTCCGTTTGTCGGTTCGGCCGGTTTTATTTATTGCACTCGTCCTGAGTATATAGGTTCGAGTGTGTGGGTGTAACACACACACACACACAATATCGTTACAACAGGTGTCACTTCCACTTAACCGCTCTTAGCAATAGAGAGAAAAACGTGCTCGATGGGAATTCCCGAGGATTTGAAAAATCCGGTGTCATCGCGGTGGCTGCTTTAAGGGTTTAATTCCACGTTTGACGTATCACTTTCGATATAATATTATTAAAAACCCAGTTAGGTACTGCGTCACGTAAAACTACAATTTCGTTGCTTTTTGTAGGCCGACCGAAATCACACTCACACATGCCCTATCGTTAATAATAAATAATTATTTAACCGGATAAAACTTTATATGTATTTTATACGGTAGTATAATAATAATACACGGGTCAGCGCAAAGGGAAAACGTACTGTTCACGCAAACTACCCCTTATTACATGATCGGCACTAATAAAGTTAACATCTGGTGTTTAATAATACAGTTTGATAGTCTGTCGATTGACCTATTACTTTATACGACTGGTTTGTTGTTGATTTTAACTCTAAACACTACACGTGAAAAATTTGAAAAAAAAGTCCTGGTCCGAGACTCATTCTAACTCCAAAGTTCACAGTTATTACTTAACGCAGGATATTAGCGTGTGACAAATGTTTTCCCTTAGAGAGCATTATTAATATTAGTTATATTATTTTAAGGACATTTTTAGCGACGACAAGAGCCACTAAGTCGTCTATTAAACAAAAATTAATAGAGGATATTTTCATGTTCCCTATTATAATACTTTTGTTAATATGGCCAATTGATTTGCCTGTTTTTAATATTATAAAACTGCTACATGGATAATTAGATAATAATATGTAATACGTAGTAGCAATCAAACTTGCTATGGTTTCGACTTTTGACAATTATATAATATGTTTTTAAATTTTTTGTTTGTAGACTTTTGGACAGCATTAAGATGCCTAGCAGTCAAACCCGTCCGTCAGGTTTTCACATATGCGACATACTAGACTTAAACGACGGAAAGGTGAACTCTTCGGAAAACGCCAACACCACTCTGGGGTCGCACATTAGCGGTAAGTGCATACAGCTCAGCTGATACATGAACGTGTTAAGTATCAGGTACTTATGTGTGTCTTTTTTCGGTTAGCTCCAGACGTTCACACCATCGGCAGCACGGGTTTTCAATTTCCCAGCGTCTTGCAATCTTCCACCGACCTGCTACACCATTGGCCCACATCTCTCACCGAACTCCGAGGTAAGCAAAACGCCACATCATAACCCTTAGAGCCCATTGTAGTCGAGTACGTGTGGACAGTGTGCAGAACAGCTCAAAAACGATGTGTACTAAAACTACTAGTACAGCGAAGGGGGTAGTGTTGAAGACCGTGACCGAACTGGGCTTTTTGGAAAACGTTGACCTCGATTAGAATATTATGTTAAGCACTGTGTCGGGCTTGAAATGTTGTACGCGGTAACCGGCGAATGATTAAATTAGCTAACAAAAAAAAAAATGATAATAACAAACGTTGATCTCGTTAAAACCTTGTGTGTGCGATTGTCACCCGACAACAAAATTACAATAGCCGGGTTGACATGTAGGGTTTTTTTTTTTTTTTTATTATTACACGGCCGGGGCTCATTATAATGGCGGTCAGACATTAAAAAACAAATTTAAACCCGTTACAAGGTCGGCCCCGTGTACCACCTACCCTCCCCTCCCCCCAAAAAAGGGCGAGTGTGTGTAATGAAGGTTGCAAATTAAATAACGCTCCCGCCAGCCACCGTATCATGGTCCGTCGGCGCCTTGTATACAATATGTATACTTACGCTATACACATATATACATACACCCAAAGATCGTTTCGCTGTAAGTGGATTATATTATACACACCACCACCCTCGGTCGGTATACACCCCGGGCGTCAGATTTACCGAGGATTTTCTCCGCTGTTTAGCGACCCCCCCCCCAGGTCACCACCACCGCCAACAATGGTTTTTAATAAAAACAGAAGTATACACGACCCAAGTACGGTGTTTCTTTTCTGCTTTCGACTTTATTAAGCGTTCTTTTCAAACTCAAACGGCGACTTTGCAGCTCGTCCGCACCGGGTTCGGGTCTATTCGTTAAGTAAATTGATTTGTAACCTAACCGCACAACAACTGTACTAGATTAACAGTTTCAACGACGTTACCACACGAGCAATGTTGTAATATAATATGTAGATATATTATAATTCGGATTCCAATACTGTACAAATAATTATTATTCTTGTTATTTAATATTAATTCTAAAACTATTCCAATCCATATTACAAGCCTATTTCATCAGTATACCCACGACAGTAATGCCGTGCACGAAACCGTAAGACGTCTCGACGCTCAAAATTGGTATGACTCCACACGCAATGACACTCGTGTATAGGTGCCATCGAAATTCAAAAACTTCAAACGATTATTATTGGAGTACTTGTGCAATATTGACGTTGTTACCGCTATACGAGTATAGCGGATTAATAGGTTTACAACAATTTCGAACAGATTTTTGTTATCATCAACATAGTCTGAAGCTGAGAAAGGCTAGGTTAGGCACGTCAGGATTTTATTCGATTTTTATCATGTTTACTCTACCGCATGGCTTTAAACTCTATGGGACTCGGTTGCGCTATTAGTTTTCCAAAACATCCATTTGTCAAAGGTAGTAATAATTCACCGTTTGTACATAAACGGAACCTATTGAGCCACGTGCAGTACAAAGTCCTTATATGGGCAGTACCAATATATTTTCGATTATCTATACCGTTTCTCGTGGTGGATTTGTACGGACTCAGTTTTTTTTTTTTACTTACAATATCAGACAATGTGTTATAACAATAATTTATAATGTCCATTCAACACGAATGCCCAAGATATACGGGAAGTATGGAATAAGGATGAATGACAATAGTAACGTTATTTTCTAGACCCTCGTGCGGCATGTAGATCCCAAGTTTCGTATTAATATAAAATTATACTGTTATTATGTAAGTCAGCTGATGTGGTGGCGGTCGGCCAGCTGTCCGACGCGATAGACGTGCCTGTGTAGGACTTCATTCTTAAACCTAACCGATCATGTAGTAGGCATTGTGCGTTGCGGTTGCGACAACAAGAAAAGTAATAAGAATTCCATTAACCAAATAGTATACAGCTAGCACGGTAATATACGAATATTGCGTGTTGTCACCTTTGTACGGGGCCTTGTCTCGTTTGACAAATACACACAATGGCGAACATCATAGGCACAGACCGCTTGTATAAGTACGAGCTCCCGTGTAAAACGAAAATGCGTTTCGTATGATATTTTAAAAACTCGTGTCGAACATCTGCAGACTCAGAGACAATTGCCGGTGTGTGTGTGTGTGTATACACGACTTGGGGTGGAGTTTAGCGACAATAGGGCGTGACATACACAACGGACGATCAAAGGTGACCATTGTACGAATTACACGGGGGTTTAAGGACGACAACGTGTATTGTGTTATGGAAAAAAAAAAAATAAATAAATAACCGCTCTGGCAAATTACAGAGGGGGGACGAGATTTTTTTTTAACTACAAATATCATCAATAGACGACCGTATAGTAGACTTGTGTACTACACGGATAATCTGTCGGCCGTGACAAAAGAAACAAAATGGTCGCCACTATGGTTTTTCATAATTTTTCTGTTCGCCTCCGCTTAAATCGCGTTTTCTCGCTTAAAATGTAATATGTATTTACACAACGACAATGACGACAATAGTCTTTAAGAAAGAAAACGACCGCGGCAGATAGATAGGACTCCGGCAGATGCTAAAAGCGGAAAACCAATTATTCGGATTTAACGACTTTCCGATTTGTTACCGTGACACGCCTCGCGGATGACACAGTCGAAAACGTCCTCACGAAAATTTATATTCAATTTTAGGTGCCTTCGAATCTGCCGACGAGGAATTAAAACGTCACCGCAGCTGTATAATATACACTATAAGCTTATTATTAATCATTTTTTAACAACATCAGTCCGTATACAGACTTTGTTAGTTCGCATTATCCGTATTTAATGTAAAATCAAAAAATCCCTTATTATACCCTACAAATATCGCAATGGCAAATACACATGACAAATAATACAATGACATAGCTATAGTTGGAAAGTTTAGGGTGAACAATTTTTTTTGGCAATTATTGAAAAGAAAAACAAATAGACTTTACTATACTAATGCCGGGTTGCATAAAAAAATAATACATTTAATGACCAATCACTGGCCATTCATTTTTGTTTAAGGAACCTTTAAACATAATATATCCTATTGATTCGTTATACATTCAATGAACGTTTATGCAACCCGCCATAAATGTAATACATAATGTGCATAGCTTACTTACTTAAGTGGTGATCATTGAATATCAGAGAGTTAACTTCTCTCACCATTATTATCTATCCATCGACATGCACTTCACGCATATCACCTTTATCCCATCCCGCCTTTTTTTTGCTTAATTTCTCTCACCCCATCGCTTTAGTTTAACGGCTTCATTATATTATTATTTCATCGTGCCGTTTCCTTCCCTTCTCTACCACACATAGCTCCGTCGGAATTTGAGTAAAAATTATAAACCTTACTTGGGGGGCTGTGCCTTATTGGTTACTGACATTTTTTTAGATCCTGAACAAGTTTAGAAGGATTTGAACTTATCTAGCTACCCCCCCCCCCTTCTAGTTGGGCCATAAAATAAGTTGTGAGTTTACATTTTAGTCACACCAGGGTCACACACAGAGTATATATTATTATCTATCGCTCAAAGGTTCGCAAACGGTATACTAACGATGCGGTTGATTTTGGTTGTTTTCACAGGATTCGGTATGAGCCACGGTACTCAACAGGCCAGTCCGGACAGCACATCGCCCGGAGTCACCGACCTGACAGACACTTCGAGTACACCCAGCGGTCTGGCAGCCGATACTTCTGTCAGCGTGGGAGGCCCGGGGTCGGGGATCGGCGGTAAACAAGAACCGTCCGAGGCGGACGGCGAAGAAATCATGGAAGATGACTTTGACGACGAGCCGGGCGCAGGAGGCGACCACGACCGTCCTGGGTCAGGCGGTGCCGGTCATCCGTCCGACGGCGGTGCGGTGCACAAGAAACGCAAACGCCGAGTGCTCTTCAGCAAAGCTCAAACGTACGAGCTAGAACGCCGATTTAGACAGCAGAGGTACTTGTCGGCTCCAGAACGAGAACACCTGGCTTCCATCATCCGGCTCACCCCGACACAGGTCAGTAATCGCACTGTTGATCAATTACCCACCAAATTACAATTTAAGATTTATATAGGTACACGGAAAAAATACACAGTTGGTCCAACTAAAATTATGGTCACAATACATTAACTTTCTAGTTGGAATAACTAAATAAATAGTTGGACCAATTTAATTTTTAGTAAAAGCAACTACATACGTCTAGTACATTAAAAAAAAAATCCCATTAGAAATGTATATATGTGCCTTTATTAACCATAATTTTAATTGGATCAGCTATGTATTTTTTTCCGTGTGAAACTGAATGAAGTGGTTCCTGCCAGTCGACCCAATCGGTTGAAACGATTTTGTCTATTTAGTTTTTACATTGTGAAATGTCTACAATTAAGAGAAAATCTACTATTGGAAATTATCCAGTAAATGATTGTTGAAGTTTTCACGTTGTTACATGACGTATTGCTTATAAGTATATAGGCCCTTATACCATATTATAATCGCGACTGGTTTAACGACCAAATAGGATCGGTATCAGGACGGCGGCTTTTACCCGATAATATATAATATGTATGACGTACAATAATAGAACCCGCGCCAAGGGTTCGGAAAAGAGCATACATAGAAGGGAACATAATAGGGGACTAGTGATGAGATAGGTCGAATGCTAAACAATTGTAATTTACCCCAGCGATGGCGAACCCGTTTGTGAGGGGTACCTCGCATATCCGTTACGGTTTTGAAAACTTAGATATAATATTATACACATAAAATAATATGAACGCTATTTCCAATGCACGTTTATATTGTCATTCCGAGTAGGTACACTCGACTACGATTTGCAGACATCAGTATACTTATGGTTCATACTGACATTAATTATACATTTTTGTTACTGACACACATAAGCGATGATTTTAAATACAGCCCAAGTTTTATGGGACTATCAATAATACAAATTCACATACTCAAGTCGGGTTCTGTTTTATCATTTTAACTCATGTTTATGATTTTGTCGTTTCAGGTGAAAATTTGGTTCCAAAACCACAGGTACAAGACGAAGCGAGCCCAACAAGAGAAGGGCATGCACGTGGACCACCACGCTGCGGCCGCGGCTAACGCGCTTACCTCGCCAAGAAGGGTAGCAGTGCCCGTGTTGGTTAGAGACGGTAAACCTTGCTCCAACCAGCCGACGGGTCCAGGTAAGACCGAACAAATGGTCATGCCGTCGTACTCGCATCCGTTAATGCATAGTCAGACGCCCAGGACTTGGTGGTAGTCATTAGCACCTTGATTTTCCTGAGCACCGTGTCGTGTTCTTCGTCCAGTGTCTTCCTACAACAGCAAAATCCGGACTAGCATAACGTTCGCCTGCAGTGACAAGAATCAAGTCTAACCTACTTAAATATTACATACAGTTCTGGGTATCGTTATGGGTTTCGACAGTGCAATTTATTATCGCCAATTGTAAAAAAAAAATCAATTTAACATAGTTTTCAAAATAATTCACACCCATAATTTAGCGTTTAAAAAATCAGAACCCTATAATTATCGTAAGCCAGATCTGTAGGTCGACAAAATGTTCAACTGCAGTTTAGGACTTTTCATTAAAATTCACTTTACCTTCTTCCCGTTTCGTTTTTTATCGTTTCTTTTCGATAATTTATAATACTAAAAACTAGAATTAAGCGTATAATAATTTCTAAAGATAAAAAAATAATATATTGATATTATATAGTTACTCATATTTAAAACAAACAAAGCTTTAAAAAATTGAAAAAAAAAATTAACTACTTATTATTGATATTGTTTATTATTATTATTATTATTATTATTATTTATTATTATATTATTAAATACTTTAATAAGAGTTTAACGAAACAAAAGACTAGTCATTTCGTGTATTTTTATTTGTTTATATTTTTATTGTTAGCACGTTATACGCGCCCACGTAGGTGTATGTAATTATTGTAATTTTAAGTTGTACATATTATATAGTACGCATAATATATATTATATAATACAAAAGGACGGTTGTTAAATTATATTAATTGAAAGTATAATTAATTGTATATGAATATTAAATTGATTATAATAGGTAAATAAATAAATAATTGTTATAATAATTAAAACCGTATTTGTTTTTATTTTTCTAATCCGGTTGATACATTGATACCGTTTATATTTTAAAAGCATAAACTTAAACTAGCAGAGGTGTTGGAATACATCATTAAAAAAAAATTTAGTTCGGCTGATGATGAAAGAGAAGTTTTTCAAAAGTGAATAAGCGGAGTGACAAGTCTCCAGTAAGATAAAATAGCGAATTACCAGACATATATAATATGTATAAATATAACTGTAAATATAATATATGAGAGATTGTTTGTAACGTGAGACGTGAAAATACTTTTTTTTTATAGAAATTGAGTAATTGTATGAGTGAGTGTATACATATTATATAAATATACGAGTAGAGAGCGAAGACCATTTTGTTTTTTAAATACTCACCTCAATAGAAAATTTTTGTATAACATAAAGTTGTATCAAAATAAAACTAAATTGTGTTCAGACAATAATACAAGTATTATTAAAATAATAATATTGCAAAAACAATCATTATTATTATTATTTTTTATTTTTTTATTTAGAAATCATACAATCTGTAATATATTTAATTACAATAAGCATAAAAGATGATTTTGAGGTAAACATATATATAATAATATATTGAGACAGTAGGCTTGATAGAAGGGGCCAGCCAGTGCTTGTACTTCATGACGTGTGAAATCGCAGATTAGTCAACCAATAGGTCACGACACCACGTTCGCTTTAGGCGCCTTCTGGGGTCACCAGGGATAGTATGGACGGATAGTTCAGAGATCAGGGGGTTGGATGGTTGAATGTTTTGGAGTGTAGGCGCTTGTAAAATGTTTTGGCAGTTTTTTGAACTGTCGGGATGGAGAGATCATTTATGGAGGGTATCATTGGAGACGTAAAATGAGGCTTTTGTTATTTGGCGGAGGCATTTGTTTTGGAAGGTTTGTATTTTATTGATGTTGGATGATTTGGCAGGTCCCCAAAGCTGGATGCCATAAGTCAAAATTGGTTTGAGGAGTAGTTTGTACATGAGGAGCTTGTTTTTAAGATTGAGGTGTTGTGATGTGAGAAGGAAACGCAATTGACGGGAGCGGTTGTTTAAGACGAGACGTTTGGTATGGATATGAGTTGCCCAAGTAAGGCGGAGGTCTAGGTGTAGGCCCAGGTATCTGACATTTTGAGCGGTTGGAAGGGGTATGTTATTGAGGTAGATATGTGGGCAGTCTGTTCGTTTTAGAGTAAATGTGCAGTGGATGGATTTAGTCTTGTTGATTTTTAATCCCCATTCTTTATACCAAGTTGATAACAGGTTGAGATGGTTTTGGACTACGTTTGAGGCCGTTTCAGGGTCGGCATGGAGGGCTAGGAGAGCTTTATCGTCAGCAAAGTCACCGGTAGTGGTGTATGGTGTAGTGGGTTGATCCGAGGTGAAAAGATTAAATAACAAAGGTGCTGCGACAGCTCCTTGAGGATTTTATTATTTTTAAATCGAAAAATCATCCAAGTTAGTGATTGGGTAATTAAGGTAATTTTTCTATTCGATTAATCGTTTGAACAATTATTTATGGGTCCAGAATAATTATTATTAGTACAACGGCATGGTATTATTGTGTTAAGGTGACTATCTATCGTGGATACGTATTTAATGTGGTTGTACCTTTGATGACGCAATACCGTGTCGTTTCGACCTCACCTTGTTGACAAATCGGCAAGTCTCCCCCTCCCCCCCTCACCCCCATACCCTCATTGTAGATTAGAAACAATTAAATATAATTATATTATTAGAGGGAGCGAGAAAGGAAAAAATATTATAATGATAATCTTATATTACATATTGTAACGTTGCTGTATGTTTGCGTTACGGATACGAAGTGTCGACAATCGGTTCACATTTCAATAATAAAAAAAAAAATAGGTGTATAATATTATATTATCTTAACTTATCTATGCGTATGCCCCGTTATCAGACAAACATGTCTTGGCTGTGTCAATATAAAACTATGTTGCGGTAATTTTAAATCGATCATTGTTTACACACGTTCGATCTGAGCTAAATACACGTGAACAGGTCGTGTTGGCCGCTACCGTTTAAATCCTTAGTCTAATAAAACGTTTATACAGTTGATGTTCAAAGAGTATACAACCTTGATTCTCCCTTGTGTGCCACTCTTTGAAGCGGTCGTCCACACGACTGTTTTAATCTTCTGAAACGTTAAATTTTGCAACAATCTATATGAACCTAATAATAATATGTATAACTTATAGCTTATACCTACAAATATATGCTCTTGATAATCTGGAAATATAAGACTTAAACTAGCGAATATATCTTTATTTATTTTGTAATACTTTTGAATGTATATTTAATTTGAATTATATATTGTGTAATTGGTAAAAATCATACAATAGAGAGCCTTGGAGAAATATTTTAAAACTGAAATTATATCAGCTATTAAACGGAAGTAACGTAGTTATAAATGTATTTTATCTTTCATCAACACGTTTTATCAGTCATCAAGAATACTTATTGAGTTGTAAGAAATGGCAACGTTCCAGCACAGATTTTTACTATCAATTCCGACACCGGTTTCTGTATTACAGTTGAATTCATACAGTTGATAAATGTGGATATCGAAGCGATGGAAAAATACGTCAACCAGACCGATAGAAAACAATTATAATATGTTAGTGAATTATATAAAAGCTTAATATTAATCAGTTTTTCACTTACCTTAAGTTTAAAACAAACCGGTCTCGATGATGGCTAGCACAAAGTAAGGAAAATTTGGTCAAATAATTTGAAAGTATTGCTAACACGAATATTGAAATGTTATTTCAATGATATTGGTAGTAATCAGTAATGCCGATGATGATTGAACGAAAAACTGATATTGGAAAAGCTATGTTTGTGGATTTTGTGTGTTTGTTCGGTATTAGGCAACAACTTTTACTACATAATATCTAAACAAATAAAAAATAAGAGATAAACTAAATCCAACAAAAAACACTTTGTTGTAAAACTAATATCTTCTAAGCTTCGCGGCCAAACTGAAAAACGTTAATATAGATTATAGTTATAATTAGTGTATTTATTGTATGATAGTAACTAATGAATTCCCCTATAATGCAGTATTGTCACACTGCAACAAAAACATTAAGGTTTGCTTTTATAACGGATTTTCGATACAATCATTACGGTGTTCAAAGCCGAATTAATTAAAAGTTAATTTTAAATTAATTCCTTACCCTTAGTAGTTAGAATTCTATAATACAACATGCAGTACACAAGCTAGGTTTCGAAAAAATATATGAACCGAAAAAGTTAAAATATTTTTAATTCCACCAACTTAAGTAGGTAATAGTGGCGTTAAAGGGTCACTGAACATTTAATGATTCGTTAACTTGTAATGGGCACTCATAAAATGTTATTCACTCATGTTCGGCACTACAAATTATTCTACAACAATTGAGGCTAAAGTCTTAACACTAAAATATTTATCATTGGTTTTGACATAAAACAATTTAGCCTTCCTCTTGAGTGAACACTCAAAACTCTAAGTCCAACTTGTTATTGTCAACTACAGATTCACTCTTCGGGATAGTTTTGAATGTGCAAGTAGCATATTGAAACTAGACTTTTATTTTAAAGCCTATCCTCAAGAGCTACTCTAATATTTAGTGAAGACGAGACGATCTCAAGCATATAATAACGTATAAATATATTAAGTATTTTATAGGATAGTAAATGTCTATTACTGTAATTGTGTACAATAATAACGACCTTATTCAAATTTCAACTAAACAACATTAGCGTTGATCAATATTAGAAAACCTATAAAAAAAACCTTATAAAACCTTCCAATACAATTTAAGTGGAAATAACACATTAACACCAAACAAATTAGTTGGACAGACAATTTTTTTTACTGTCTATATTAAAAACAAGGTATACAATAGGAATAACAATATCATAAATTAACCACCAAAAGATTTGGAACAAAATGCGACTTTAAAGCATTCAAATTAATGTTGCGTCGTCTGCAATCTAAACTTGAGGGTCATTTTTTTTTTAGTTTGTGTCACTCGATTGTGACATATTGTTTAGGCGCAGAACGATAACATGAAAACAGTTATATTGGTAATGCTATAACCAGTTCCACTTGACAATTTAATATAAAAATATTGTTTCGAATATTAAGTACTCAAAGATATGATTACCTAGAACTATAACCGTCACGTTATTGTAAAGTTAACAAAAAAACTATTTGTAATTAAAATGATACAAAATTCGTATTATAATTATTAGGTAATGAAGATCTTTTTTTTAGTAAATTAAAAAAAAAAATACTTGAAATTAAATATATCACGTGTCTAATAAGTTTTTAATTAAACTAGTAATAATGTAACTTAAATTGAATATACTAATGTAATTATTTTATTAATTACATACAAATACTTAGAGTTAATACTGAATATTAAAATATTATATTGAATTAAAAAATTATATTTTCACTATACATATGAACGGGTTAAATTATGCTGTTTAAATTAAAAAAATCACAATAAGTACCAGTTTTAAACAACATAAATAATCAATGTAATACAATAATGTTGACAAATGCTGATAATGCTTGGAAAATCATTTAATTTTTCCATTACATTTTGGAGTGGTGCTAACCCAAACACCTTTATACATACCAATATAATAATAACGCTATGGTAATAAAAACAACATCTAATTGTATGTACTCTAATTAATAACAGAAAATGAACATTCGCAATTTCTTGATTAGCTTAATAGATCTTATTATTATTGCAATATAATTTATAATTACCACTAAACATTGCCTTGTCTACTTCTAATGCAATTATCAGATATTTCTAACACTGCAAAATATATTGATTATTAAAAACGTTATCCTATTGACAATTCTCCTTGAAGTCAAAATATTAGTTATA